GAGGGGAAGCCGCGTGGGGATTGGGGGGTTTATATGCACAGGGGCTGCAGAGGCGAAGGATGGTGTGGAAGAAGGCGGCTGGAGGGAGCTGGAAGCTTGTTGAGTGTGCTGCCGTGAGCGCGTGACGGCGTACGTACGGGTGACCGTTGGCTTGGTGCTTAATTTGGGGGCAACGGTCGAATGCCTTGGGGCCTTCTGTTCCGTGGAGCGTGTGTTTGGCCACGTCGCCGGTACTCCCTCCGTTCCGATTTACTCGTTCTGTAGAAGTACATCATCTTCTATGGTGTTTTGAATCTTCTCTTGCAAAATCAGGATGGAAATAAAATACATGACTTTGCAGTACAAGTGATTTTAGTATCATTTTTGTTGGATTTTTTTTTGCTGGTGATAGGGATAACTCTCTCGTGGTCGACTGTGCCGTGCGGTCAGCCTGAGCGTGGACCCCACCGTCGATCCTCCAAGGCAAAACCGCACGGCGAGCTGAAGTCGAAGACAACGGGCTCGTCGAGAGTTGAGACCAAGCCAAAGACCGGAAATAGCGGAGGCAAGACAAGGCGGTAACGAGTATCTGAGGAAAAGAATTATATGAGACTAGGTCTCACGGGCTAGTTAGAAAATCAGGGGGAGGGGAAGATTAGATGCTTTATGATTTGTGAATGTCACATATCATCTATCAGGATGGGCCTCACCTGCTAGCCCGTGAGACCTGATCTCATATAAATTTTTTTCAGCACCTGATGAGAACCCCTGGCCTGGCTTTTTTTTTTTAAAACGAGCCTAGCCCGGCTTAGGGTTAGGATGATGGAAGATCTCTGCGTTGGAAAATAAGCAGGATAGCGAGATAAAACGAGCCTAGCCCGGCTTAGGGTTAGGATGATGGAAGATCTCGGCGTTGGAAAATAAGCAGGATAGCGAGATTCAGAGGGATGGTCGAGGTGACGACGAACCAATGGTGGTGGAGGTCGTGGCAGTGGGTAGAGAAGCGTACCAGCCAATGTGGGTCGAGGGTCGTCCACGGACGACGGTGGCAAGAGAAGATGGTGGGGTAGCGTTCCTGACAGCACCGACGGTCGCGAGCACTGCTTCATGGACGACAATCTGTAGCCGATTTATACACGACACATGTTAACAGCCACCCATCACTTTGGTTCGATGGGGTTATAGCCATGGATCACAGCTTCGTCTACAAATCGTCCACCAAAGTGTCGTGTGCATAGTAATTTCTCCACCAGCATCTGGGAATGGAAGTTCATGTGTACAGTCTGCTCCCTCCAAATTCGTGAGAACAGAGTACTCCGCCGTAGGATCCAACTTAACACGACGGTTTTTCAGTAAATTAAGCTGAGGGTGGTCTTTCTAGCCCTCAAGAAGAAAAACTAACCTCCTCCATCTTTAGTCGAAGGAAGTACGAGTATTTGGGAAAAGAAATTCGTCCTTCTTTGTTTTATAGGATCCTCTCTCTCTCTTTTTTTTTTGGTATAAGAGATAAGGACATTAGAAGTGATTCGTCCTTCTTTGTTTTAATCCATCGAAGCCAAAGGCGATTCTTTCATGATGATCGCTCAATGGTTCTAGACTTCCCGCCTGGGTTTCACCATTTGTACATTCTGGAAGTTCTTGGACCGTAAGTACAAAGGGTAAAAGTTAGCAAAAAAATACTGCCAAAAACAACCATGAGTTTCAGGGAAATACAAGTGCACAAGAGAGACAAGGAGAGCATTCAGGAGAATCCAAGCCTAGCAAACCAGTATTAATACCACAACACATGCGTTTTTCAGGGGTGTTTCTTGCGTTTACAGGCTCCGACATCATACGAGTAGAGAGACCTCGGACAACACTTCATCAGCTAGACCCATGCATAACAGCTGAATGATACTCTTACGTTTTACAGGAAACCTGGATATATCTGTCTTATTAACAGCACTGCGGCAACAGCATTACCACGGACAGCATGGATTTGCATCCGGCTGAAGCCCACAGGTGATCATCGATCCGCCCTAGTGCGCCCGGTCGCGGAGGACATCGAGCTTCACCTCGGTCGGGTCAGTTGCCTGGATCTCGTAGTGGAACCCGTCGAGCTCTTGCTTGATGCGGTCCTTGGAGGTGGAGTACAGCATCTTGGCGCGGATGCGCGATGTGTCAGGGGACCTGGGGCAGCATGTGCATTAGTTATATAGAAATAAGGTGAAAGTGAGATCAATGGTAAGGGAAGAGAAGATGCATCAGCCATCAGGCATGTGCAGATGGTGATTTTTCATCTATGCATACTAGCACCGCTATCAGAGAAGTCAACTTTCGCAATAAAGAACAAATTGGCAAAGCATATTCTGAAGACATGTGAACATGCACTGTTGTTCTTTCTCGACAGCTACAAGCATAGATACCAGGCACAAACAAAATAAGAAAAGGCTATCATTGCTATAGATTCCTCTAGCAATGTCCGTCATGGTTATTATAAATAAGCTGAAATGGGAACATGGGAAAGGAAAGAGGGAGTGCATCGACTGTAAGTTAGTGCAAATGGTGATTTTCAGAGAAGTCAACTTTCATAATGGAGAACAAATTACACTATTGGCAAAGCATATTCTGAAGACAAGTGGACATGCACTACTTATCTTTTCTGGACAGCTACAAGCATAGATACAAAACAAGAAAAGGCTATCATGGCTATAGATTCCTCTAGGAATACCCATCCAGGTTAATAATTCAGTACTTCATATAGAAAATATGAACAAACAATATATCTAGTGTGGACACATCTAGCGTAGATTCGTGAGAAGCACTCTACTGCTTACCCTACCAGGAACTTCCATGACTATGTTAGGGTCCATTTTTCCAAAGAAGCTATTAAGACTAACTGGCAGATGAAGAAAAGCATTAACATATGGATATGTGACTATGAAGCTCACCAGGCAATGAAGAAAATCTTGCTTTTCTGCACATTCTCCCCAGTAACAAAGTCAAAATCATAAAGGGCATATCTGCAGTCGTTTTCTGGGAGACAAGCCAGGAAATCATCATAACTCTCAGTTGTAGCCCCCGTCTTCTCCACAACAACCTGCTTTTGCTTTTCTTCTATTTTGAAGATGACATAGCGAAATGCCTTCTTCATCTGAAGCTCCAGGAATGTCTCCCTGATATCAGGAGCAACTCCCATGCCAGAGGATGCATTGGACTGCAAAAAGAACACACATAAGAGAATGATGGAGACCAAAAAGTTGACAACAAGCCAAAATGTTTTGAGAATGAGTCTCTGTTCCAGATTATCCCATAATTCCAAACAAACATATATTAAAAAAAAGACTTCATTCTTGGCTGATAATATTGCCATTGCATTTCAACTGGATACGTGCGACTGTAAAAACAAGTAAATAGCCTTTCAATTGTTCAAGAGGTCAAACGAATCAACAGCAACACCTCAGTAATGGTAACAGTGTAAACAACCTTTGATACAATCGTAGTGTTCAATGTAAAGTTCAGAAGGTCTGCATTTCTACTTGCAAGATTGGGTTTAAATTCACAAGGGATCAGATTAAGGAAATTATTTGTTTCTGTAAAGGATGATCGGCCTGATCAGAGACCAGGGTAGTGCCCTGGGATGATAAGCCATGCTTTGTTGTTCATGGTCATTTCGAAAAAGGTTCTAACAACTTCTGTTGGAAGGCTTTCGCCCCCAGTCATGTTCTCCTAACTAAGATTCCATTCTTTGACACAGAAATATGCAGTAAACAGGAAAGGAGGCTCTTAAATCAATCATCCTGGTCAACAAATGGAGCTGATTCCACTAGCATGCCAAAACACAACCAGGTAATCAACTATCTCTGTCTCTCTTTTAACTATTCAACCCAATCCTGGATAAAAACTACCATAGTAAAATTCATGAACCATGTAATGTCAGTTGCACGGCTACAAAATCCGACCATAGACAAAAAGTTCAAATACCACGTAACAAGCTCAACTACACCGATTCGTCATAAATTACGACCCCAATCTTACAGAAGATGAATTGTTCAAGATGTATTAACCGATTTGATAAGACCGTCAGGAAGCATAACCAGAACAGTCTCCAATATTTACCTACACCAAACTAAAGCACGAATATGAGTGCTTCCACTCTAAAAATAGGAAACTCGGCTATTTCACTCCGAAAAGGAAAAGACCGGTTCAAACATGGCTGTCCCTCGACCACCGATGGGGACTCGATTTTCAATGATAATGCAAGCATGGTCCACTCTGATATATGAAAGAATAATGGCCATGTATCCAAGGGGCAACTGACACGCCAAGTGGTCCATTGCTCTCCTTAATTTCCATGGCGACATAGATATCGACACCTGGTGCTGATGGCATGCAGTACAGATAACTACAGAAAAACAGATAAACAACCAGAACCAAAAAAAATCAGGTAATCAGTCAAACCCACGCCGAACTAGGTACCCACCGAAACATCCCCAGCCCATCCTCGCTCTACCGCCACCTTCCGCCTACCCTCCGCAATCCACACCACCTCGCGCTACTCGAAACCCAAAGCGGTTGCTGAAAAAAAAAACAGAAAACCCGTCGCAACAAACGGAACAAACCGCTCGCACGCCGTCGGATCCCACGGCCTTCGGCAGTCTCGATCAGATCTGACCCAGCGGGCCACGACGAACCCCT